TAAATCACTCAAACTCACACAACACTATTCCACTCTATTAACGTACACCACTTAACTTTCACTTGTATCCAACATACAAATCAATCGCATAAAAAAACACTTCCTTTTGTTTTCTACAAAGATGTTCGACATCTATATGGATGACATTATTGAGCCATTTTCTTAATAACGATTCGCTTGAAACTGATCAAAAATCATCTGCTTTTATAAATGAGTCAAGTTCTATCTGATTTGAAGAAGAATAAAGTTAATTGAACTGATGAAGTGAATTTTGGTCCAGAGATATTGGACATTCTTCTCATTTACAACAGATGAAAATATTCTCAAGACAAAAAAAGCACTATTCTTTTACTCTACTCAGTTTAAAGTAGATTAAAAGTTCTAAATAAATAATCTTTTCTACTAGCAATTTAATCAAAAATTTCCAAACGAAAAAAACTTGTCGAAAGACAGTTCAACAAAGACTTTTTATTCTTCAAAATCATGTAATCTTTGATAATATATATTTACCTGTGCGTGAAGCAATTCTGTATAATCCATCTGAATTTACAATCAATTCTACTATATCTTTATCGAATGTTAATGTAAGTTGTTCCAATTGATTTTGGATAAGTAAAGATAATGTCTGAATTAATGATCGAGATAATAAACATCGAGTAATATTAAGTGATTTGAGATTAGGAAAACAAAGAATTTGTTGATTATAAAGACATTTATTAATAATATAATAAGAATTTGAATAAGTTCCATCAAAATGAATATATTTAATTAAAGAAGAAAGATACGATGAATTCGAAATTAACGGTAGTAATATTGATGAGAATTTTTTATAAGATAAATCTGATTGATTAAAAACAATTCCACTTTTTTTCATTGAAAATATTGAATAAATAACATAATTAATACGCCTATTTATTAACCATAATGATATTAGTATTTTATCCCATGATAAAAAAGAAAATATATCAAGTAATATTTCATCTGGTAGTGTTTCTAATTTACTTATCATTGTATGGTAAGATAAAACTAAATTAGTTCTCTAAAAATTAATATCAAAAAGTTTTTTTTTCAAGATAATAAAACTATGTTTGAACTTTTTAAGCATCAATCAAAATCTATTTCGTATTAAATGCATAGAAAAAAAAAATCTTTTTTTCTAAGACCCAATAATATTACTAAACTTCTTTATTTAAGATTAATTGTATAAATCAAAGATTGAAATAAGATAAATCAGAATCTAATAGTGCTAAAATCTAGTAATACGATCTTCTATGTAGAATGTTTACATAATAATCTGGATAAACTTCTATCACAAAAATCTTCAATAAAGTTGACTTTACTATTTCTTTACATATATTCGTTGATAATTATCACATACAATGAACTTGATCAAACCAAAACATCAAACTAATATCATCAAAAAAAATCATTTTTCCTTTCATTATTCTATGAATAATTTTGAATACGATCCTTAATCTGTGCAGGAACAATCGTCCGACGTGACTTTTGTGCAATGAAGCTATCAAGAAAAATGTATTAGTATTGATGGTGACCTGTCCGTTTCACTTCCTCTTTATATAGGTATACACAATCTATCGATAATAGCGGACGACTAGAAGAAAAACAAACATAGAATATTACGACCTTGGTGAATTCTTATAGGTTTCGATGGATCATAATGAATTCAGCAGTTATTAGGATTCATTAGAATCCAACAAGAACCAATAGGAGCCAATAGAGTCTGCATGTTGGGGTATAGGTGGTTGTCGATGTTCAAAAAACCTACCGACTTACACCCACCGATAGATAAGAATATCACGTCAGCTAACATTTGAATAAAGTCAAATGGATGCTGAACGAAGTGTTGAAGTGACTGACAATATGATGAAAGTTTATGTGTGAATAAAAACACTCAAATGTGAATCATATTAGATAGATATCCCACTTCTAGCTCATCATACCTGTGTGTGTAAAACCAAAACTGGAAAGTTCTACTATACTGATCTTCAAATGGAAAACGGTGACAAACATGGGAAAGTAGAACTGCATTTTGATGAGTATCAGTTCTACGGCAATCAGGTCATTATTTATCGTCCAGTTGGCCATACACGGAAAACATTGAGTAAAATTGATGAATATCGGCAGATACATAATTCAATTGGTAAAAATCTATTTGTCATGGTCAAACGACTGCCAACATTATGTTCGCGATTATCTTCGATTTTTATGCATTAAAAATAGCGTCTACACATTTCATGGTGATATTTACGTGGCTCGAACCCCATCAGAAATAACTCTGCATCCATCGTTTATGGATCGTGTGGATCCACAACCAGTTGTAGGGTAGCCCTACGTTGCGCTCCTTAATCATTTATATATCTTTTATGCAACAATAGTCTGTTTTTTAATTAAAAACGAAAAACAAACATCTTTTTGCTAGAGCCTTTATGTTCATATATTGATTAACTGTCATCGAAATCAGTACCAAGAATGAGTGCACGTTGATATGCATCGAATTTCTTCATTGATATTTTAGGAAGATTAAGCTTTGAACCTAGAATAGAAAAAATAACAACACGTCAATAAAGTCCCTTAATTATAATTTTTTATTTACGCGTTTGAACTAACTCTGTACTCCAATGTGTTAATGTAATATTATTTTCTACTATTGATTTACGTTGTTTTCGAAATTCATCAAGTGTATATTTTTGTACGAATGTCGTTGGACTCATACTGACATAGGCAACAATACGTAAGAAGTCGACTGGTTCACTCTCGTTTTGTTGCTCAGTGACGAAGGCTGGTGCATTGCAATGTACAAGACGACTATCCCATAGAACAAGATCACCAGCTTGACATTGAACAAGTTTTGCAATAGCTTGATCACCATCTAAAATTCGATGATTACGTGGTATCCTAATAAAATCGCTTCTTCCACGGGGAAGATCATTTAATTCTGCAAAACGTAAATGAGTATTCGGAATAATAATGAGACCACCGGTTGTTTCGTTTTGATTCATTAATGAAACAAGTCCTTGTACACAGCATCGGTCAGGTTTTTCAATCGGATTTTGATCAACATGATACCATCCACCGTTGGTTTTCCATTTAGGATCGTAATGCCAATTACGAAAAACACCACAACCATCAAATGAAACTAATAATTCATTTGTATTCCATATTCGAGTGAAAACACGTTTGACTTTTCTATTTGAACGAATATTCCACATGAAATCAGATTGACCTATACCACAGTTATTTACAACGCCAGAAGTAGGAAAACCGGGCCTAAAAATAATAATAATAATATTCAAGTTCGAACTCAAAGTAGAAAACTATATGTTTACCAAAAACTAGACCATGTCTCTGGATCATTTCGCCGAATGTGACATCCAGGAATATTTTCAAAAAAGTTCCATAATAAATCTTTATTTGTTTTAATTTCTTCTTGAGATAAAATATCGCTAAAAACTGTATAGCCATGTTCATTTAAATAAGCAATACCCTCATTGAGACCTTCATCGTTCGTGACTGAATAACGTGGTGTTAATGTGGTATGATCAATACGTATCCCTTTTTCGTCAGTACTATATTGAATTGTTGTCATTTTCGTTGTTGTAAGAATGTGACGAAATTTGATGTCCTATGCTATATAAATGAGTAATTTTTTTTCTATGTATTGTGTAATAACAAGCACATTTTTGATAAATATTATGGGTTATTTCGCAATACTCCGAAGTACGTGAACTGATAAGAAGAATTACATAGAGAAAAGATAAAAGAGCTTACATCGATCGCAGTTGATTATTTTTTTTAATCATTTGGGGGCGGACTTATTTTTTTCATAAAAAATGAAATTATGTTGCTAAAATTAATAATATTTTGAAAGTTATTAATGACCATAGTTATTACCCTTAGACCTTATTTGAAAGATGCAGCTGTTTTATTTTGAAACGAAAAAAAACTAAAAGTTCATCAAGGTATGAAATTCTTCGAAGCAACCAACTACACGAAGATCCATATCACAATCTTTATACTATAACGTGAATCTGTTCTCTTTTTAGGTCGTCTATTAGTACGTACACACACTATACATTGTTTCTGGAAAGTTTTTCATTCCGTTGTTTGAGGTACAGCAGAAGGAAAATGTCTAACAGTGAGTCGAGTTGGTTTATAACTGTGTACAGGAGATCGAATTGTAGGTTTTGGAATATGATAGCTTTGTAAAATTTCATGTATAAGTGGCAAACAAAAGTCTACTAATTTAGGTCTCTTTCCAGTGTCCATTTTTTCAAGCAAATAAGAGTTGAAAACTACTAAATCAAGCATATGAAAAAATAGTTTTCTATATCATTTGACAGATTTTCTTATACATTCAACAAAACTAATTAGTTTGCATGTAAACTTTATCCATTGCTCCTCTTTTAGAATTATAGTCAATTATATAAATTGTTTTTCGAATTGGTTGTTTAGTTTTTGGATTATGTTTTGTCCCGTAGAACCCATATGAGGTTGATGGATAATGGATAGCATTGTAACTTCGCTTTTACCATACTATTTCAGTACCACCATGTAATTGTACTTTTATGAACTTGTTGACCCCTTTGCATTTTATCTTCAAACCTAGGTAAACCAATTCTATTTATTCTTACAGGACCGCATGCACCCATTAACCTTACATGTAACTTTTCAAAAAAGTGCAGGACTTGTGAATCAACTATCTAGGAATAAATTATGACCTTTATCTAAGTAAAGTTGCATCTAAGTCATAACAATTGAACCAGAAATTCCGACATCTGGAAATCTTTTTATGTTTGTAGTGGTTCCTGTGTAAATAACAAAGTCTAAAATTATTTCAGTGCAAACATCATATATAATGTACAGCTTTATCCTGAATGTAATCCTTTTATATGAAAGCTATTGGTTGAAAGTAAGTCGACCTTTGTATAACATCAAGCCTTCATCAATACGTAAATCTTGAAAAGGAACCAAAATTTTTCCGAATCTTTCACGTAAATAAATGATTACTGGCTTGATTTTATATAGGTTATCATCAGATGGTTGATATTCGCTGTCATTGAAATGTAGAAATCGTAGAAGTAAAAGAAATCTGTTCCCACTCATGATATCTGCAAACATAGGTGTAGAAATCAAAGGGTCAATAGACCAGGAGTCTTTCCTTCGACTTTTTTTTTATATGAGCCATCAGCATATAAAGTGCAAAAAATGTATGCATTTCGGATACAGTAGCACTAATTGCTTCTTGGTATCGTTCAGGCAAATTTTCGTGTTGAGCTGTATAGAAATGATACATGTTTGTTTCCTCGGCAATTTTTTGCATCTGACTATGATCAAATATCAAATGAAAATAATCTAGTGGTCTATTTTCATCCTTTTTTGGTAAATATGAATTGATACCAGATATACTTGAGTCAAATGTAAATGTTTTTGGTTCGAACCATTTTATTCTCCATGTTCGTTCTTCCAAAGATCTTTTTGTATCCTGTTCTGTTGTACTACTAGATGTTATAATAATCCAGAAAAGTTTCAATATATGAAAACGAGTGATAATAATGTATAAAGCTGGTTAGTACCAACAATTGTTGCTGTCGTGTCTTTTTTAGTATGACCTTGTCGAACTGTCGTATATTATTTATGGGACAAAGATACCTTCTATGCATACTACTTCAACTGAACATTCTCGAATGTTAAATAAAATGATTGATGGTTGTGGGTGTGAGTTAGGTGTGGGGTGTGGATGTGGATGTGGACTTATTCTACATCTATACTCTGCACTTATACATCCTACACACCCACCGACACCGACACCCACACCCACACCCACACCCACACCCACACCCACACCCACACCCACACCCATACCCACACCCACACCCATACCTACACCCACACCCACACCCACACCCACACCCACACCCACACCCACACCCACACCCACACCCACACCCACACCCACACCCACACCCTTGAATAGTGATATTTCAACAACGATTTTGTCTTCATGATACACTGAACAACATGAACCAACGTACGATTCTTAGGTATGAATTTTTCTCCTTTCTTTTTGTATATGATAATCACATAAAAAAAAAAGATAAATAGTTCATTCCTACCAGTATTACTCTTTTGTCGTCCCACTATCAAATATAGAAAAGAAAAGGAGAAAGAACCATACGTTTGTTCATGTTGTTCAATGTATGATGAAGACAACATCATTGTCGAAAATTCATTATTAAAAATATAATAAAAAATAAGTAAATAGGAAGAGTACAAACTACTAAATCAAATATAGTTTCTTGTCTCCTTTTTCTCAACCTTGAATATCTATTATCGAATTTTGAAATATGTTTTTAAAAAAACGCCACATTTTAATTTTTTCATACCTGACACATTTGCTTCCATGTTGTGGCATACATATGTCAGCAGAACAATGCATAAAACGTTACGAATCATGATAGATTTTAGTACAACTAATGATCACTTTTCTGGACTCGGTCAAAGAATCTTGAGCCTTTCTATCGTATCGAATATTGAAACATTATTTGAACATGCATTTTGTAGATATATGTTTGCTCTTTCAATCTATGCAATCAGAAGTATACAACCACCTTTCATGACCAAGATTTTTTTTTAAATTGATAGGTCCAGGTCCAAGCCGGGTCTGGACCCGGACCCGGGTCTAAATTCACACCGTTTAATTTAAAAAATCTTGGTTATGAAAGGTGGTTGTATACTTCTGATTACATAGATTGAAAGAGCAAACATATATCTACAAAATGCATGTTCAAATAATGTTTCAATATTCGATACGATAGAATGGCTCAAGATTCTTTGACCGGGTCCAGAAAATCCGGTGCAGCTCTTTACTCAATCGGTATCTACTTTATATAGGAACTCATTTAAATTCGTCTCTCGCGAACAGTAAAAAAAAGGCTTAAATCGTTACTTTGGCTGTTAGAATGTGTGTATCTGTAAAAAAACAAAAGAGTCATGCAAGTACGATATCAGATGACAATTGGACTTAAAGGATTGTGCACAGGAAAAATGACACAGATGCATCATTAGACCATGTGTATCGATATATTACAATGCATATTCACGATAGATTTTTAGAGCAACAAACTCGCAATAGCTGTTTTTGAATCAAGTATCCACATCTGTTTAGGCTTGTTTCAATGCCTACGAGAATTATGACTCATTGTTGGTCAGCAACCATCATCATGCTGATATATCCCTATAGTATTTTTTGATTTTTAATTGATTTCCACCGAAAAGTGTTATGATTTGTTTTTTTTGTACTTGAATATCGATCAATACTGATATGAAACGAAAACCAATTCTTCTTACAAAACTTCAACATATGGCATACAATCAATTTATTTTCTTGAAAATATTTCTCGTTTATGATTTTCAAAAATAAATTTTCGACTTAATTTTAGTCAAATAACGCTTCTGTTATATTTAAACCAGTATCAACAATCGATTTCAGTTGAAACATTGCAATAATATCTGATTTTCTTTTTAAATTTCATTTCACAAAATATTTAAATTCTAACCATCATAAATCAAGTACCCTCATTGAAAGAATTCAAAATTGAACTATTTTTGTTTGTAGATGCATGAAACAGATATTATTCAGATTGTTCAAAATGTTTGTCAACATAACTTCGAATTTGAAATAAATACTCGTAGAAGCACTAAGCAAATATTTACAAGTACAATAATCAAGCATAATCGCAGCTGAATACGTTTCTCTTGATTCATTCAATTCGAATATTTTCAACATTCTTAGTTGTTTTAATTTCATGTTCTCATTCATCATGCTCTTTGTTCAGTTATGAAAATATTTATGCCAAATACGATCCATTTATCTCTTACTCGTTCTCAACACCAATTCCTGTTTGTAACATGTTGCCATTCTTCAATCGTTGGATCTTTTGTTATTTGGAAATTGTACAGAATACTCTGAGAATCAATTCTACGTTTGCCTTTTGCTGTGTTTAATCGCGATTAGATTTTTTACTTATTCTCATGACAGAGAAATGGCGAAAAGTGGAAAGGTAAATGAAGAATCTTTTAGAGCATTCGACTAGAAATATTTATTGCACTATTTGAAACAGCTTAGCGATTGGAATATTGCAATCAATATCCATCTATCATATGAGATATAACAAAAAGAATCCTTGAAAAACAGAGATATCAACGAACAATATCTCAAAAACTATACAAAATGATAGTAAATATATTTTTTATACGATTGTATGCTTCAATCAGTATGATACATATAATAAGCATCTAAACTCAAATGAACTCGTATGAAGTGTTACAAAGAACATTCTATACCAATAAAACTATCTTGAGAGTGTGGCTGAATGTGGGATATGGGTATGAGTCTTTTCTTCATCTGTCCACACTCACATCTTAGTTTCCTTAATTTTCAAGTGAAGTTTTTTTTTTACAATTGCATAGTAATCCAAACTTTGATCAGTTACAATCGTCTTTTTTCAAGAGTAAAAATATTAACTTTAAAAAAAAAACTATTGAAAAATCAATCAATAAATAAGAATCGCTCCGAATCGATGGTTTTCATGGAATGTCAACGATATAGGATACCATCAACAATCCTATTTAACATTTTATTTGATTCTATCATCAGAAAAGTTATATAAGAATTATATCTTGACACTAATATATACTGATGAGGTTGCAGTTATGTATGAAGCAGTATTTGATCTAGCAATATTCATTCGAACATTAAAAAAATGCCTCAAGATTTTGGATTGACAATAAATATTAAAAAAACTTGTATTATGACTTTACCATAGTTTTACGAAGATCAAAATCAAAAGATTTTAAAAACAGAACGAAATGATCTTTCCTAATATTGGCATTATCGTTCGTAATCAAAACATAGAAACTATTGAGTCTTTTACGTATTTAGGTTGTAACATCACTAGGGATCAGAAACCAAATAGCGAAATTAACACAAGATTAACAAAAGCTGTCACTGTGGGTGTTGGTGCGTGGGTGTGGGGTGGTTGTGGCTATTGCTGTGAGTGTGGCTGTCGATGTGCGTGAGGGTGTGGGTATAAATAAAGAGATGAACACCAACATCCTTATGTGCTGTGGATCTTATTTCATGTAACATGGGGCAGTCCAATATATTGTTTCAAATAACAAAATGAATGTTACATTAAACCGTACTCAAATCACCTAAGACGCTAAACCTTCGACACATGCACTCCGTTAAAAGCCTGATTAGTAAATGCAAGCTTCATACCATGCTTCACTCTTAACAATACTCGTGAAAATCAGAAACCACGATCATCATACACAAATGTCGTCCCTCGTGATGTGTGACATAAGTTTTTTTTTCAGACAGAGACCAAGGACGAAGATATTTTTCCACAACCACATCCTTTTTTGATCAACAAAATGGAGAATTCATGTGCAAGGATACTGCTTCAAATAGAAACGTTAGAAGAATGATAGGAAATGACTAAATCGAATTCAGACAAGCCCCAAGCAAGTCAAAACAACGAGTGTTATTTGCACAACGAAAGAAAAAGAGATGCATTAAATAACAAGCTGATGAAGAAAGACAAGAAAAAAATTATATGTTGATGGCAATGAGTATGACTGCCGTACAAAAAGTGTAGTAAGGGATAAAAGTAAAAAAATGTCTAATATCGAAAGAAAAAAGAATCAAACGAAGTAGGATCAAGAAAAATCACAAATTTTTATTCTTTCCGTCGATGGTTGTTGTACGCACTCAAACTCAAAAAAACATATCTTGTCGCAATCTACTTTAAGCCAAAACAATAAATATGACACTGAACTTTATCAGAAGTAGTGTTGTTTTGATTAATAAGGTAAAATTTACTCGGTAGCATCTATGAGCTTCGAAATCATTATTTTTCTCCACAATAGCGTCTCTCAATACCAACATTAATAGTGAACAGAACAGTGTCATCTACAGCGGATTTGTACGAAACGAAAATTTTGGCTATTGGCGCAGGTAAAAAATTGGCTGCGGAGGCACAAAAATCTTTGATCGCATTGGGATATAAAAATTCAAAACTACTTGGCGTTTTCAATACAGAGGAAAGTGATCAGAAATTAATCATTACACTCAAAGAAAGGCAATGGGATGCAATATCAATTGGTATGTTTACCTCTTTTGACTGCTCTTCGATTTGGGAATCTAATTAATCTGTTTCGCTTTCATTGTAGGCGGCTATGTCAACGGGTTTGATCAAACTGTTCAATTTAATGATAAAAATATACCAACTAATCGAGCCGAAATACTCCTCTGGTTCAATCGTGTTCTAAATATAATACATGAATTAGCACCAAAATCAAAAATTATTCTTGTTAAATCACCACATGATATACACGATGGAATTCAGCGAATTATGGGAGCGAAACAAAAAGAAAAAGAAAACAAGGATGAAACCGAATGACACTACAAACCATTTTTTTGAACGCTGTATCCTGTTAGATTATTAGTGTATGGGTTTAGAGATGAAAGAGAAATGTCTTGCATTAGTTGAATGGTCAGTCGTGGTGAATTTTGTTTTCCAGCTGCAAACTACCCATCTCAAGATGTCTTTAAGAAAAAATACTTTCATTTATTTCATACCAGTGATAAATCTGGTGGCAAATCTTTTGAGACAAGTCCGAAGAATTTTGAGTTCAGAATAAATGTGGACAAAGATGAAAAATTTCAAGTTGTGAGTGTTTGTGTTGGTCTCTTTCACATTGACACTCTTCTACGTATTTTTTATTCAGAAGGGTGTGGGTGTGCGTGTGAGTCTTCATGAGTAGTAGAAACACACCGACACCCTGGGTATGAGTGTGCGTGTGAATGTGGGGTGTGGAATGTGGGGTGTGGAATGTGGGGTGTGGGGTGTGAGTGTGGATGTGGGTGTGGATGTTGGATATGGATGTGGTTGTGTTGGTGTGAGTGGGTGGGTATGGGTAAAGACATTTCTGCGCCACCCACAACTTTGCCCCACATCTACACGCACATCCTTATGAGAGCTCTAGTTCTATCAACATCCATACCAACCAAGTTCATCGGGTATCTTTAGCCGAGGATCCAGAAGTATGAATGATTGTGTGCAGACTTCAGCAGTTGAAGGGCATGTTAGGTTCAACCGTGAATGGGGGTATGGCAGATGACAACGTTGTTTGAAGACCACTTGATGCGTTTATGTTGTTGAATATAGCTAGCGGTGTGGGTGTGAGTGTGGTGGTGTGTGCGGGTGTGCTTGTGGATATGGGTGTGGGTGTGAGTGTGGGTGGGTGTGGGGTGTGGGTGTGGGTGTGAGTGTGGGTGGGTGTGGGGTGTGGGTGTGGGGTGTGGATGAATGGGTGTGGATGTCGGGTTGAGGGTGTGGGTGTGGATGTCATTCGTTTTATCTCATTCCAGATCCGCCAGACCCTTATGCTCAGCCTCGCGCACCTACACCAATTCCCACACACCAAGGCACACTCACCTACACCCAGACCCAGACCCAAACCCACACCCAACACCCACACCCAAACTCACCCACACCCACAGGGGGGTTCTATTATGACCCGGGTTTAGTACATAGATGGGACTTTTATAGTGACAGTCTCAGCTCCCAAACCATGCCATATCTTAGGAGATAATTGAGTCAGAAACCCGCTATTTTCGTGAAAAAGCTTGTTAGCGCAGCCCCTTTGGGGTTGAAATGTGAAACTCACATATCTCCTTTGGTTTCATTATACTAATGACAAAACACGCAATATTTAAAATTTCCAAAAGATAAGAGTTCTTTTCTAAAGATAATCGATTATTAGAAAATGCTATATTTTTATCTCTCAATTTCGAACAGAATTTTTTTTCACGAAATTCCCAAGGTCTGTAATGGTAGCCTACGTTGCTATGGTCTGTAATGGGGGGATTGCCTGTAATGGAGGGGCATGTCTGTAATGTTCTCTTTCTCCGTTGCTATGCGTCTGTAATTGGGCGACGGCGAGGGGGAGTCGCCAACTTCGAACTGAAAACTTACACTCGCTATTTTCTTCGAAAACATACGTGAGTTCCACAAAAATGGGTTTTTCGGAATCCTACCATTGGCTCAGGAAAGATGATAGAGAGTTCAAAGTTGGGTGTAGGCGTAGGTGTGGGTGTGGGTGTGGGGCGTGTGGATGTTAATCATCTTTTTATCCATACGCACACCCCACACCCACACCCACCCACACCCCACACCCACACTCACCCACACCGACACACACCCACACCCACACCCACACACCCACCCACACCCACACCCTCATTGCGGGTGGAAGCGGTGGAGAAGGACAATCGAACCAAGTCAATCAGCCGTACGGCTTATCATTCGATCAATATGACTATCTCTATGTCATCGAGTATGGAAATCATCGAGTACAAAAGTTCAATATCGATTCAAACAAATGAAAATATCAACTTTTGAAAAAATCATCAAGTAATTAATTAATTAAATAATTTTTTTTTCTGTAAATAGTTAACGTTTATTATAGTTAATTAAGTTGCGTAACTATTTTGGTGAACCTAATTAAAACCTATATATATAAAAGAACAAACAAACAAACACAGATGGGAGAGACCTGGCTAACTTTCTTTAAAAGGGAATCCTTGAAATTATTTTGAAGTTTTCCAGCATTCCCAGAGTTGAAAGGGTGCAGAGTCTTCAGGATAATGACGACCATGATCAATTCTATAAGATTCGAAGGATTCTAAATGATCAGACTTATAGAAGACTTGGAATTCTGGAAAACCAGAAAAGCNGTACTGGGCAAAGTAAAGTCTGTATACGTTATTTGTTAAAGTACAGATAACTTGGCATCCCTAGGTATTATTTGAATTTTATAGAAATAAACGAATATTGAAGAGAATAAAATGATTAAGTGTATCTATTTCATTAAAACGATTGAATGATAGAATGAGTATTCATTTAAGACAAAGAATCAAAATTTGATTTGAAAAGTTTAAACAAAACATTTATCTACTGTAGAAAAAGAATATAGGATTTAATAATCTTGAACAGATGCTTTTATATCTATCGAAAATCTTGTTTTCTTAACTGATAGAAGATTTTGTTAAAGGTCCTTTTTAGAATACATTTTTAATGAGAAGAACAATGATAAAATGGTCATTTCTCAACTTATTCATCTTTTAAAACCGTTTAAACACGTCTTAGTTATCATTCAAAAAGGAAAAACACCTTCCCTTCATTTAATAACAATTGCTATTCTAACACTTCGTCGAGCGTTAGAGTCATATACATCGTTGATTGAATATAATAAAAATTAAGGAATCAATTCATCAACTGAAGATTTAAGTGAAAATGAAGATGAATTATTTGAAGAAAAAGAAGAAGGTAATTATTTGTAAAATGTATCATATAAAAACAATATTCTTCTTCGTTTACACAGGAATGCGTTTTTTTCGTTTACGTATTTATCATTTACTCATTCTATGTTTAAATTGGAGCTAGTTCATTTGGCAGCTACACTTTTACATCCTAGATATCGACTTCTGAAAAGGTGTTCGTTATATGGAGTACGAGAATGTCATTTATATATTCGTCAACGTATGGCACAAATCAAATCAATGAAAAAGAACAAATCGAAATCTGATACTTCAGAAGAACGTTCTTCAATGGTTAATAATGTAACATTAGATGAACCAGTAAAGAAAAAATCCAAACGATTTGGAGAAGATTTCGAGACTGGAAATCTTAGTGATGAATTTGATAATGAATATGATTGATGAATTAAACAAGTATTTGGAGCAACGAATTGATAGGGAATCAATTGATGCTAATCCTTTAACATTTTGGTATGAATATCGATTTGCTTACCCAACTTTATCTCAACTAGCACGTTCGATTTATTCCATTCCAGCTACCACAGCTAATGTTGCGCGTCAATTTAGTGCAAATAGAATGATGATTAGCTCAAGACGTACCAGATTAAATCCTGAACAAATTAACAATGCTAAGTTTTTACGTTCAGTAAAAAAGATGAGTGATTGTAATTGTTTTTCATTCTTAAATGTTCATGTTTTTCTATTTCGAAATTATATGTATGTATTTAAATTATACATTTTCATCTCATGAAATAAAATAGTAATTATGAAAGTCTACTGAAAAATTTGTGGAGAAATAATGTCCGAAATCATATTTTGAACGGGGCGGGGCGAGGCGGTGACGGTGCGGAACTTTATCGACAAGGTGGGACGGGGCGGTGGCGATGTGACCTTTTTACTGCCCAGTCCATCTCGGTTATGGAGTATGTTGCTTTTCACAAATGTCTATTTAAGGCGTTAAAAAAAACTAAGTCGACCTGTATTATAATACACAGCTTGATGCATCTTCATCTCCTCTTTTCCAACGGTGAAAACTGCAGTATCCTACTTCTATCAAAGGCCATTCAAAAAATACCCACCCGCCGTTTTTTTGAAATGAGTATTAATTATATTTCTTTGTATTTTTATTTATAGAAAGTATTTCCTTGATATTGTTATCATAGATCTTTATTTTTCTGTATTTTTCATTCATATGAAAAGTATCTTTTTTTGGTCTGCTCAATAATTATCTATCTAAAATGATTTAAGTTAGATCTAATACACAGAGGTTCTCGATCGCTCATAAATGAGGACTTGATATCAGAATCATCTCTGTTAGAAGAGACAAATCTCTTATGTTTGATTTCTTAATGATGTTTGTCGCGCGTGTATTTGTTCTTCTTGTATGAGCGTTTTTCTTTTCATATAAATTCTCATATTAAATGGCGTACAAAGATCAATAGAATGTCATTATAAAGTCCTAACAAAAGTGTTCGAACCAGTTGACATTTGGAAAATGCGTATAAATACTCACTTGCAATTACTATCATTTGTTTTCACGTTTTATTTAAGCAGCTGTGATCATACAGAGAACATCACATTTCCAGGCGCCAAAACGTCGGAAAGAAAATTTTTCTATGAAATTACGCATCTTTGTTTTAATTCAAAAGAAAAAAATCTACCAAACTTGAAAAATATATATTTCTGAGATTGTACTGCTTCACAACATCATATTATTTGCTTTTATCGTATCTGCTTCAGTTTTCTCAAGACGATCAAACGCAAACTACGACTGAACGTTTATATATTTTTTTTAAAGGTATGTTTCTTTGGATGTCGTACAAAGAAGATCTTGTAAGTCTCTATGAACTTGTATCTGACTTTATAGCTCTGAGCAAATCATTCCTTCTTAAAAAGAACGTATCCAGATCGCAAAATCAGACGTAGGATCTTGCACATCAGATGAAATCGTATGAAAAATATACGAGAAATCGTGGTCTCTGCAAAGCTTATATCAAGTCTTAGCATAAGATTCTTCCAAGATCATATTATCTGTACGATCTTGTATGATCTTTTTCGAAAGATTGTATAAGATCCTATAAAGCAGTAATATCTTGTAAGAATCGTATGCCAATATTTGATGTAAGCTTTGCAGAGACCACAATTTCTCGTACATTTTCATCTGATTTTTAAAAGATCATACAAGATTAGATATGCATTTTGAAACAGCTGATCATTTGATTGTTTGACTTGGGTATCTAAGCGACGCGCTGTTCGAATTGTGTATGAAATGCCATTCTATGTTTCCAGCAGGTAATAAAAAACTACTTCCTCAATAGAGATGTGCAGGACCAAAAATTAAAACTTTACCGAGACCGGGACTGGAATCCGATGCTATATGATGTCATTAACTCTGTCAATTTTCAAGTGATGTTTTTCATATCCCCCTGGAAAAAAATAGTGTCACACGATATTCTTGATATATCATCATTATAAATTAACATTTTGAGTAACATAGTTATATATTCGGATAGTCTGTGGAATTCTCTACAAATCTATATATGTACGTTTTGAATTGCACTTGTTTGCTAAAAATAAATTTAAGCACAACAAAGGTACTCTCATCACCAGATTCCCTGAAAACGCATTTTGTTTCGTCATCCATTTTTTCAAAAATATTTTTAATATAGGAACAAGTTATTACAAAAGTACGCATATATTCTGAAAGCACGTGAAATTCTCTATTATCCTACATATTTATGTCTTATCTTGCATTTCTTTGCTGCAGTGAATAAATGCAAAAAAAGATATACATATTTAGGATGATAGAGAATTTCATGCGCTTTCAGAATATATACTTACTNCCACACCCACACCCACACCCACACCCATATACAGAAGGATTTGTTTAAAATCATGTGCATTCTCACTACATAGAGTCATTTTGACGATCGATACTTGATCACTCTCACTACGATCGATGTCTGTCAAGCGAAAGATCGAACCAAGCATAAAAAGTATTTCTGATTCGCCAGGAAATTCACAATGTGCACTGATATCAGCAAATGGCTTTGTAGCAGCCATCTTATGGTCGACATCGATTTCAAACAAAAGTCTATCTATCTTGTCTGTAGCTTTAACAGTTTTGATAAAGTTTAGAGCAATGGTTTTATCAGCACTGGTGGAAAGAAATGAGTTCACTGAAATTAACTGACCAACACGTCGTTTCAAATTGTTCAGTTCAGATTTTGATATTTTTTGACATCGATAAACTTTCAAAGAATTTGCAGCTTGATAATGTACTAATTGACGACATATATCGGCAATGTATGTACGAAATAAAAAAATCAAATGAATATCTTTGCTGCGTAGAGCTGTATTAAGAGTTTTGAAAAAGAATGACTCTCGTGAATACCAAGATAAAGCTTTTTCAGGTGAATAGTACTTTTCAAATTCATGAAGATTCTTCAATTCGAAAGCATCATCTTTATATTCGTTTTTACAATAATTAATAAGGTCGTCTTTATCTGCTTGAGTGGATTTGAGCTGTATAAGACAATCAATCAAAACTTGAAAAAAAATAAATTCACCATTTACACCTGTTGTTGAATTGCCACCAGTGAAAAAATCAATGGATAGTGATTCTTCCGCTATTTTCTGATTTTTACAATCAGCTTCAATTCGAGAGATAAGCTTATCAAGGTCATCAACAACAGCTTTTATCTATGAACAGAAACTCATTAAATGAAGTCATAATCGTTCAGGAAAATTTTACTTTTGAAAATTTTACAGTCCATGGTTTGTTACCGTCTATATCGAGGCAATATACATAGATTGATGTAACTTGTTGAAGTTTATGAATAGAAGGAACAATTTCTTTTCCCAATTGACCACTAACAATCATTCTTAGTTGGTCTTTTTGCGATTGTTCTTCAATATATTTTTGGCATTGTTCTACATCTTGAAACTTCTCCAGACGATTAATAATAGAATGCAGTCTTTGTTCTGCATACTGGACCTCTTCCATCTTCGTATTAGCATTGAGCCACACAAGACAGAAAGTTTTGAGATCGGGATTATCGACCTTTGTATGAAAGTCATCCATTGGTAGAGTGGGGGTGGCCATGCTTATCAAGAAAGTTGAATAGAATAGAAGTTTTGGATGTTACCGTTTTGATTTAGTTATCGAATGTATGAATATCTTTTGAAATCTAAAATGAATGTTAAATGGTCACTTTTATTATTTTATGTATTAATATTTATGATTCAATGCAAAAGAATGAAAGAACAAGATATTCGCGTTCATCGGAGACAATGACTTTCTTCTTATCCTTAGCTTTTATCGGTAAGATCATCGATTCAAGGTTATTTGAAATGTTTCTGTTAAGTCATGTAAAATGAATATAAACCAGATGATATGGGTGTGGGTGTCAGTGAATAAATGACTTAAATCAACGCCCACACCCCGACTGGCGGTTGTAAGAACAGAGTTTTTTTGCTCTGCATCTCAACGATCGGCATGCTATTTCAAACTGTTAGCTCTCTACTCAAAAAGATTGTTCCAATGTTCGAAGCTTCTAAGCGTCATATCTATGGATAGCCTTGCGACCTTGAGATTTCCATCGCCGTTCGAAGCAGTCAATATATAGATTGAAATTTAACACACTAACTTTTAACTGTGACTATTTTGTTCTAAACATTTTCGATATCAGTTTTTATTATTTCCCATTCGAGTATAGTACTTTGTCTACATTTAGACGCATTGTCTTGTGGCTTGAAACGCTTAGTCACTAATGTTTTCACATCACAGTGAATGATGAAGTTTATCCCTCTAGCTTCGTTACATAAAATTTAGGCAACTGCCGCGTAGTTGTAAATGAACGTAATCGGTAACTGTCGTACATAAAAATAAAATGATCTGCTTAACTGAAGTCGTCCGTGGGTGCCAATGTCATATCTGTTTCAATAGTTTCTAAAATTCGCATCATATTGAGACTAAGTATATAGCGTTTAAAATGGTTTATGTTGCTGTGAAATCTTACTTATACTTTACGCACCGAACTGATGTAATTGAAGCTAGAGGGATAAACTTCATCATTCCCTGTGATGT